AATCCCTTTTCCTCCATTCTCCTCTCGGGATCTTGGGCACGCACGCACACGCGCCTGGCGAGAGTTTTAAGCCACCGGTTCCGGGACTAGAACCGCGGGCAACTATGTGGGAATCCAGCGACACAGCCATTACGCTAACTGCTGGTCCCGAACCAGATCTTTCTGTACCCTATTTCAAAAAGCACTCCGAGTGGCCTAAGGTCTGAGGTGTGCCCTGGTCAACCTACCCCATAGCACAGCACAGAACCAGCACAGCGATCCCTTGTAAGGCTTTTGGCCTCACCACACCTAAGTCCCCAAGGTCAGCCCACAGATTATCCTTGTCCCAATAGCCTGTCTATGGCTCTGGTAGCTTACTGGTAGTTCGCATCCATTGGAGCAGCGCCGGGAGGTCTGCCGGAGCCACGGTACCCAGCAGCTGCAATATTGCTCGCTGCGCAGAACGAAATTCCATAATGCAGCAAGCAGCGCAGGGCTGTTTCGCACTGCGCAAGCGCACAGACCAGCCGGACGACAGATCCTACCCTCTGTGGAACCCGCCCCTCTGAACTGCGAAAGCCCTAAGCCCCGCCCCTTACGCCGTTCTTACCGGGGATCGGGCATCCCTACTTTAAATCCTATCCCATCTCCTGTCGCTCTACTCTTAGCTAGCAGTGTTAAGTCAATTTTTTTCTTAAAGTGTTTCCTCGAGGCCTGACATTTTGTAGGCATTTAATTGTCTTGGAATGATAATGCTATTTCCCGAGATACCATCGCTAGAGAGCCTCCTATTTTACCACGAACTTTGCTGCCGCAGTTTTTCCGCGTTAGAAAACTACAGGCGAAAGCCAGACGAAGCACAGAAACACCTAAAACTGGCGAGAGAACGTGCGGGGAAATGGGGGGAGAGGCGGAGAAGAGCTGCGGCGTGCCCCGGAAGCGGAAATGCATCTTCTTCCTGAAAGGCTGGGCTACGCGAGTGGTGACGTTTCCTCATTGGGCAGAAGGTTCGGTGGTAGTCGTCGGTCTTCCAGCTGGTGGGAGTTGGCGTCGCGCTGCTGGGAGCTGGGACCCTAGTTTGTGCAGTTCGGGAAGTCGGGTTGTGGGGGTCGTACCTGTCTGTCTGCTCCCAGCTTTCCTGGCTTTACTTCCACCGCCCGGGGGCCTGGCGAAGGAATCCCCGGCCCTTTAGGGCCACGGCGTTAGCGGTGCCTTTGCGGTAAGTGTTTGCTTTTTCCCGCCCCAGACTACGGGGGTGCAGCTAGGGCAGCCCCAATCCTGTTCAGGGCCGAGGGACTCCGGAGGAGTTCGTTCGCTGGCCACCGGTCGTCGTCACTGAGATTGGTGTGCTCTAGCCCTTCCTGTGTCTTCCGTCAGAAGTTTTATTAAGAGATGTGCTGTGACCCTTTTAAGTTGTCTTGAGATTTACCCAAGCGAAATAAGATGTACAGTTGCAGGCCTCTCGCCTTTCCTTTCCCGAGCAAGAATTGAGGGAAGACTACTTTTCCAAAAAGCTTTTGACGTGTCCTGGGTTTATTTTTCCATGTGTTCGTAGTGGTTAACATACTTTCTGCAGGTAGTACGTGTTCAATAAATAAGGAATATTAGTTCAGTGCCAATTATGATACAAGGTACAACGATGACTCTCTGCACTGTTTAACACTGCTCGCCATCCTCTCCCCCCTGTTGACTTTCTTTGATGTGAGCATCACTTAGTTCTTTCATATGCTTAATTAAACAAAAATATTTACTCTCTCTCAGCTGTGGGGGACTAATGACACAATCCTGCTATCCAAGAAGCTAGCTACCAGTTCAGTGAGAGTAACATAGATATACATTATATCAAGATGAATAATGAGAAGCACTAGCTAGGCATAAAGGGCCATTGAACGCTTTTTGAACACAGATGAGTTAATGTACTACTTCGGAGATTGGGACTCCGAGCAAATTGGTATTCCAATCTAGCCTGTTTATTATGAGATTGAAAGGAGATTAGGTATCATGTTTGGTACTGTGCCTAAAACATAACAACAGTGGTACCAAAGGAAAGGGAAATACTTCCCTCAAACTTCTTTGCCTTAATTTTCTGATAGTCTCAATTAGTATTTTCTAACTTAAAATAGAAGCAAAAGCATCTTCAGGTCTTCTTTCTAAACGGATTACCCCTCTAACTCCATCTGTCTGGAAATGCTGGACCTGTCGCTAGTTTGTAGCAAGATAATAAATGGTAGTTCTTTTTAAAGTTGATTTTCTTCTACTTATCTTTGGGGTTGGACAGGGAATTAGTAAAAGGTTCTAACCCTTTGGTTGGTTTACTCTCCTTTTGGTTGGTCCTCAGACATTGCTGTAATAAAAGTGATCCACAGCAGACTGTCCTTGAGAATTCTTATTTACATCTGTGGCTTCCGTGGTGTCATCCTTATGTGCCTACCATAGCCAGACCTTTTTCTTTAGCCTCTTTCTTATATGAGGGATGGTTCTGTCCTTTCTGCAAACTTGGTAGGTCTGAAAGCAAATGTGCTATTTCCACTTTCTCTTTTTCCCTTTTGCACTGTGACGTATACATACAGAAATATATAAAAACAGCCGTTCTTGGGCCAGTAGGTGGCATGGTGGTTAAGGTGTTGGACTCCCACATGGCTGACTGCGGTTTGAATCCCAGACCTGGCAGCTTGAAAATCATGCTGGGCAGGTGTACGTATCTGTCCAAAATCACAGAATAGAGGAGAAGAGATTGCAGCATCTCCCTTCCTCATTAGTCAACTGATTATTCAGGCTAGAGACATTGAAGTTATTATTTTTTTTCTTAAGCTTGTTTATCTCCTCCATGAGTAAAGAGAAAAGAGTACCCAAAATATTTTTTTAAAGATTTATATATTTAATTTTATTTATTATCTTAAATTCACTAGTGAGAGAGAAAAAGTGAGAAAGCAAGAGAAAAAAAGTGAGAAAGCAAGCTGCCAGGTTAAGGAATTGAACCACAGTCAGCCATATGGAAGTCTGGTGCCTTAACCATCATACCACTTGTTGGTACCCCAACTGGGTTTTGATGTCATGATCCAGTGCCACCCTTTAGCCAGTTCTAAATCATGGAGAAGTATGCCTAGCATACTCAATGGGGGTGGGGGTGTCTCCAGATTTGAACCTGGAACTTTCCCATGAGGGATTGCCTGGCAGAGCAGTGGAATGGCCTGACCCCTAGAATCACCTTTGCCTGTTTCTCCTTTACTCTCCATGACTATTTTGTCATTCAGTCTTGTAGAGTCTACTTTATGGGTTAGCCCTTGATTCTATCTCATTTCTCCATTTTGCTACCACCTTTTTTTTTCTTTCAAGTTATTTTTTCCCCAGCAAGAGAGAGAGAGAGAGATAGACAGGCATTCCCAACAGTGTCGTCTTGCTGTGATTCACCACTAGTCATGGAGTTTACCCAGGATCTTTTCCTTTTGGGTCCAGTTGTGTCATTGCTGTGCTGCCATCTAACCCTCTCCATTTTTTTTTTTTATTGGAGAGGTTTTCGCTATAAGGCGCGTGCACTCGCCAGACAGACAGAGACACAGAGACAGAAGGTGAGAAATCACCCCCCAGGGGGGATGGTCATGCCGCAATCCCTTCTCCTCCATTTTCCTCTCGGGATCTTGGGCACGCACGCTCACACGCCCGACGTGAGTTTTAAGCCACCGGGTCCAGGACGCGAACCGCAGTCGACTACATGGGAGTCCAGCGACATAGCCATTACGCTAATTACTGGTTCCCTAGCCCTGTCCATTTTGCCTTGTATTTCCCTAGTTAAAGATCCCATTTTACCTCGTAGATTTTTGGAGTATGGCTAGTGAATGTAGTTTCCCTGCTCATCAGTTTTTTCTTGTCAGGCGGATTTACCACAATGTCTCTAATGATTTATTTATTTACTTATTTTAAACATACGATCTTACTCTTCCTTCCTCAGCCTTCTAGCTGGGACTACAGTCACCTGCCATAACACCCTACTCTTTAGCCATCACACCCTGCTCATTTTTAGACATCATCTTGACATACTGCTTTGGCCAGCCTTGAGCTTGTGATTCTCCTGCCTCATCCTCCCCAAGTCACTGGGATTACTGCCATACACCACTATCCTCTACCTATAGGTTGTATCTGGAATCAATCTAGGCCTTCTAGGTGATCCTAGCTTGCAACTCCCTTAATCACTAAGCTACAGGGCTGGCCCAATATTTTTGAGGTATAGCACAGATTTTTCATGCCCTGGTTTCCTTTGAGTAGTATTTCTTTCTTTTTTTTTTCCCCCCAGGCTTTTGCCTGAAGGCATGTGTGCTTGCCTTAGAGAGAGAGAGAGAGGAAAAGTGAGAAATCACCCCTAAGGGGAGATGGCGACTCTATAATCCCTTCTCTTGCATTCTGTTCTTGGGATTTTGAACATGCATGCACACACATAAGGCAGCATGTTTTTCAAGCTACCTGATATGGGACTCAGACTGTAGAGTTGGTCCTGTGGGATCCAGCCACCTGCTGACCCAAAGAATATATCTTAATGTAATACTTATTAACACTGCTGGCACATCAAAATAGCCAGTGGAAATTTTCAAAATGTAAATATCTTATTTTTCTCTCCTGATAAAGAATTTAGATGAGACTACTTGTCTGAACACCTTTTTTAATTCTACTATCCCTGAAGATCCAGATTGAGCTGATAGGCATTATTAAATGTCATTGAAATAAATCCATCTTTTTAGCATATGCCTCTTGTTCTTTCTCTTCTTTTTTTAAGTCAGTGTTCTTTTCAAATTCAAGACTATTACCAAGGAAATCTTTTTTTTTTTTAATTGTTTAACTTTATTTACTTAAAGAGAGGGACAGAGCGTGAGAGAGAGAGGTAAAGTGAGAAGCCGCCAGGTCCAGGACTCAAACCGCAGTTGGCCATGTGGGAATCCAGTGCCCTTAACCACCACGTCACCTGCCGGTTCCCTCCAAGGAACTCTTTTGGTTTTTGTTTTAATCTTGCTTTTGGGGGAACCAGCAGTTAGCGTAATGGCTATGTCGCTGGACTCCCACGTAGTCGACCACGGTTCGTGTCCCGGACCCGGTGGCTTAAAACTCACACCGGGCGCATGTGCGTGCGTGCCCAAGATCCCGAGAGGAGAATGGAGGAGAAGGGATTGCGGCGTGACCATCCCCCCGGGGGGTGATTTCTCACTTTCTGTCTCTATGTCTCTCTCTGTCTGTCTGGCGAGCGCACGCGCCCTATAGCAGAAAAAAAAAAAAAACCTCTCCAAAAAAAAAAATCTTGCTTTTGGTAATCCCCCCTGCCCCACTGGAGGGTTTATGGACTCACTAGAGAGACACAGAGAGGGAGAGATGAGAAAGCACCACCCTCTATCTCTACCCCCTCTGTGGGGAATGGTCATGCTGCAGTTCCTTCTCTTGTCTCTCCCTCCTTTCTGGATCCTGGGCATACACGCATCTCAAGCCATCAGGTCCAGGATTTAAGCCATGCAGTCAGCCATATGGGATCCAGTTGCCTTAACCACAGAGCCAGTCCGTTCTTTTGGTAACATTTAATGTAAGGGTTCTCTTTTTTTGGGGGGGAAGGGATAGATTTTTGCTATAGGGCGTGTGAGTTCACCAGCAAGACAGAGACAGAAAGCGAGAAATCACCCCTAGGGCCGATGACCACACCACAATCTCCTCTCCTTCATTCTCCTCTCAGGATCTTGGGCACATATGCACATGCTCCTGGCGTGAGTTTAAGGCACCGGGTCTAGGACTCCAACCATGGTCGACTACATGGGAGTCTAGTGACATAGCCATTATGCCAACTGCTGGTCCCATAAGGGTTCTCTTATGGTTGACTTAACAGCAAAGAAGTATTTAATAGAAGTGATTCTCAATGTTTTATTATCCCTTATTGCTAATGGAATTTTTTATATACTTTTTGTTATTAAACTATGTTGCTGTGATTTTAAAAGAATTATTTATTTATTTAATGCCATTTGTCATTATTTTTCAATTTGATCAGAGAGAGTGAGAAAGGAAAAGCAAGAAAGCAAGCCACCAGGTCTGGGACTCGAACTGCCGTCAGCCATGTGGGAATCCAGTGCCTTTAACCACTAAGCCACCTGCTGACCCCTGTGATATTATTTGTAATATAAAAAATGAGCTTTAAATTTTGAAAAGTAGGGGTTTTTTTTCATTTATTTTTAAAGAATTATTTATTTAATTTTATTATAACTTTTTAATTTGACAAGAGAGACAGAGAGGGAAAGCAAGCTGCCAGATCTAAGACTCAAACTGTGGTCAGCCATGTAAGAGTCCAGAGCCTCAATCGCCATGTCACTTGCTGGCCCCAAAAAGCAATTACTGAAGAGAGAATTGGTTGATACCTCTTGACATAACTCTATGTAACCCTTGGTGCATAATTAAGGCAGAAGAGTCAATGGGGTATTATGCATTTATCTTCTCAGGTTAATAAAGAAGTTTTGTTGGTATTTGAAGTTAGAACTTTTCTTATGTTGGGACAATTCCTGGAGCACATAGTAGGTGTTTAATGAATGAATGAATAAATGAATAAATGAATATAATTGGAAAGTCCATCTCAACCTCTACTAGTACAGTACTCTAAATCATACAGGGAGCACTTTGGAAGATAATTTTTCCCTTACCTTAAAACGTACTCTTAGGACCAGCAGATGGTATAATGGCTATGTGGCTGGACTCCCACGTAGTCAACCGCAGTTTCAGTCTTGGACCCAGAGGCTTGAAACTCACGCTAGGAGTGTGTGCATGTGTACTCAAAATCCTGAGAGGAAAATGGAGGAGAAGAGATTGTAGCATGACCATCCTTCCTTGGGGGTGATTTCTGGCTTTCTGTCTCTCTGGAGAGTACATGCACCCTATAACAAAAATCTCTCTTAAAAAACAGCAACAACAACAACAACAACAAAAACCCTAATACTCTTGGAGCCAGTAGATGGACTCCCATATGGCCGACCATGGCTTGAGTCCCAGACCCAGTGGCTTGAAAATCACATCAGATGCATGTACACTAGTGTCCAAAATCCCAAGAGGAGAGTGGAGGAGAAGGTTTAGCAGCACAGCCATTTCCCTATGGAGTGATTTCTCACTTTCCTTCTCTCTGTCTGTCTCTGGTGAGTGCATGTCCCCATGGCAAAAAAACAAAGAAAAAGAAAAGAAAAAAAATTGTAATATTCTTGTCCAGCTGTGGTGAAGCAGCAGTAATATAACTGTCTTTGATGAAGAGGGTGTATGGGAAGGTCTAGGTTTGTGACCTGAGGTCTCCATGAACACCAAGGGTGCACATACATGCCCATTATTCTGGCTAGCTGAGGCTTCGGATGTATCATGGTGTGGAGATTCTGTTTAGGGTGTCTCCCTCTCCCTTTCTTTCTGCCTGTCTCTCTCATAATAAATAAAATTTTTAAAATAGTCTTTCTGGGGACCAGCAGATGGCATAGTGGTTATGTCACTGGACTCCCACATGGTTGACTGTGGTTCAGGTCCTGGACCTAGCGGTTTGAGGCTCACATCAGGTGTGTGTGTGTGTGTGCATATGCATGCGTGCACGCGCATCCAGGATCCTGAGAGGAGAATGGAGGAGAAGGGATTGTGGTGTGGCTGTTCCTTCGAGGGGAGGGGGTGATTTAAAAAGAAAAAGTCTTTCCAAACATTTGGAAATTACAGAAAGATAAAAATAAGAAACTAGAAATTAACTAGTTACTCACCATCTCCAGAGATGATGAAAAATTTTAAGTGTATTTACACAGTTGTGCAACTATCACCATAATTAATTTCAGGACATTTTCATCATCCCTTGGAGAAATCTCATGCCCGTTAACAATCACTCCCCATTTTACTCCAACTCCAAATCCTAAACAACCACTATTTCACTTTTCATCTCTATGCCTATTCTGAGTATTTTGTATAAATGGAATCATAGCATGGTCTTTTGTGATTGGCTTCTTGCATTTAGCATATTTTCAAGATTCATCTAGTTTGTAGTATGTGCTCAGTACTTCATTTAAGAATGATTTTATTTGCTTATTATTTTTTTTAGCTTTACCAGAGAGAGATAAGAGAGAAAGCAAGCAAGCTACCAGTTAGCCATGTAGGAATCCACTGCCTTAACCACTACGCCACCTACCAGCCCTGGATGGACCACATTTTATTTATCCATACAGCAGTTAAGGGATATATAAGTTCCCTCGTTTAGGCTATTATAAATAGTGCTGCTAGGACCATTCATGTGTAAGGTTTTGTTTGGATGTGTGTCTTTTATTGATGGTTTTCCTGATGGCTATTATTATTTTGCTATTTGTTTTTAGATTGTTTAACAAAATATGGATTATATAATATATGTGTACAATTTTATTTTCTGCCTTTTACATTTAAGCATGTTTTTAGCATTAGCAAGCATATTTTACAGAAGCATTTTCCTCATTTTTGCTCCCCTCTTAAATCTCATAGTTCTTGTGAAAACTTAATATAGATTATATACCTAGAAAATAAAATCTGTAGGACTATATATCAAATTATTATTGGTTATTTCTAGGGGATGGGAGCAGGTAGGATTAGGGAAATTATATCGTCTACCTTAAATATTTCTATGTTTGAATTTGTACACTGAACATGTATCCTTCTATAATCATAAATCATAGCAGTGAATTATTTCCTTAGGGAACTAAGTAGAAAGAGCTTTAAGAAATTGGGAGCCAGCAGGTGTTGTAGTGTTTCGTCACTGGACTCTCACGTGACCGACCGCCATTTGAGTCCCAGACCCGATTGTTTGAAAATCACACCAGGCATATGTGTGTGCCTGACCAGCATCCCGGAGAAGAATGTTTCCATTCTTGGGATTGTTGCAGGGCCATCCTCCCTGGGAGGATGACTTCTCACTTGCCTTCTCACTGAATCTTTCTTTCTCTCCCTGGAGAGCACACATGCCTTAAAGTAAAAACCTCTTTAAAAAAAAAAATCCTAAATTTAAAAGTTATAACTAACATTACAAGTTAGTCACCCATATCAAATAAAATACAAATAGACCATTTTCTTAATTAAGTTTTACTTTTCTGTAGTCCAAGACTGTAAATACATATGCTGCACAGAATTTTAAAATATGTATATTTAAAGGCTGGCAGGTGTTATGGTGGTTGGATTCCCATATAACCAACTATGGTTCGAGTCCCAGACCTGGTAGCTAGCTTTCTCACTTTCCCTTTCTTTCTCTGTCTCTCTCTGGTCAAAAATAATAATAATGATAATAATAATAATAACAAATGGAATTAAATCATTCTAAATTTAAAATATATACATATGTATGTATTTTAGTATTAGAGTCAGGAAAGCAATTACTGGTTATAGGCTTTTGACTACCTTATAGAAAATTATACTGTGTTGAATATTTTTTTTCCAAGAAAATACACATACTTGTGTATTCAGTTAGTTTTCTTCTTCTTCTTCTTTTTTTTTTTTTTTTTCTATATGGTGTGTACACTTGCCAGAGACAGACAGAAAGGGAGGGAAAATGAAAAAGCAACCCCCAGGGGGGATGACCACACCACAATCCTTTGTTCTCTGGGATTTGGGGCACACACAGCACCCAATGTGTTTCTCAAGTTGCCAGGTCTGGGACTCAAACCGGGCAGTCTCCCATGTGAGATCCAGCTACCTTAACTGCCATGCCATCTGCTGTCTCTGTGTTTAGTTCTTGAGTTGAATTTTGATTCAAAAAGTTAGTAATCGAAAAGGTGTTTAGAAGAATTTTTTGTTGTGATTTCATTGTAATAGGATTTGAAATCACTAATTGTTACAGTCTGTTCATATAAATTTTAGATCAGGCATGGTTCTGGTAGGAATATTTATAACAGATTATACAGAGGAAGGTGACTCTTTTGACACTAAATCTGCTGTTGAAAAATAGCCAGGTACTTGTAATTGGCACCAAATTTTAAGGATTACAGGAGTAGTTCTTGGATAATGGGATATACACATTGGTAGGATTGTTCAGAAAATTTCCAGTTTATTCACACTCTAGATACTATAGAGAGTGTTGGTTGGTATTCAAGAAAGAAAGGGAGTTAATAGTTAATATGCCAGGTACACACAGACAATTTTGTACCTATTGTCTCATTTACTTTTCACATTCAGGGTAACTACCTTGACAATGGTATTATCTCCATTTTGCAGGTGAGGAAAGTGAGGCTCAGAGAGATTAAGTAACTTGCCCAAAGTAACAGCCAGTATGTAACAGAGCTGGGATTTGAATTCCTATCTGTCAGACTCCAAAGCCCATGCTCTTTCCAGTACTTCACACTGCAGCAGGTAAGTATGATAATTGGCCCTGTGCTTGCCTTATTTAGGGCATCCCAATCTTCAGCCTGTTTCCATCACTCAGTATCTAACTCCTCCTCAGACTCCTATTAGAAGGACCTATGACTTGGGCCAAGAGTGGTCCTTATCAAACTGATTGCAGTGATAACTTGTCAGTTCTTTCTGGATATTGCCATTACTCCTCCACAAAGAGGAATGTGTATCTTTTTTGCTTTCAAAATACTGTTTCCTCTATTATGGTATAGCAGCAAAATATCCTAGGAGTTTGCTAGTGTGGACATCTAACTTTTACTAAAAGCATCATTCATATTTCAGGATTTAAGGCTGTATAGCCAAAGGTCTATAGAAGTCATTTTGCTTTGTTGGGTAGGGAATGGCTGTTCCATTCCCTAACCTGCTATATCATACAATTGTTGTGAGGGCGGAATGAGATAAAAGATGCTAACTATAGGAAATACCATGTAGTAATTCCTTACCTTTCTAAAAGCCCCATCTAAGTAGAGATTCTTCAAAATTCTAGCATATGTAGATTTATTTCTCTATATTTTTTTAATCAGGCAAAAGAATTTAGAGTTAGTGTGCTTGAATCGTAAATTATTCCTATTTGAGATTCAGGGTTAGCTATTCACATTAAAAAATCTGTTCTGGGGCCAGCAGGTGGTGTGGTGGTTAAGGTGCTGGACTCCCACATGGCCGACGTCAGTTCAAGTCCTGGACCTGGTGACTTCTTTCTCTCTCTCTCTTGCTCTCTCTCTCTCTCTCACTCTCTCATTCTCACTCACTCTTTCTCTGGTGAGTGTGCATGCCCTATAGCATGTTAAAAAAAAACAGTTATAATAAATAATTGTTTTGTTTTTGTTTTTGTTGTAAAGAGATTTTTTGCTATAGAGTGCATGCACTTGCTAGAGAGAGAGAGGGAGAGGGAGAGAAATCACTCCCCGGGAGGATGGCTACACCACAATCTCTCCTCTTAGGTTATCCTCTTGGAATTCTGGGCATGCACGCACACACTTCTGGTATGAGTTTCAGCCACCAGGTCCTGGAGTCAAACTGAAGTCGACTATGTGGAAGTCCAGCAATGTAACCATTATGCCATCTGCTGGTCCCAATAAATAAAATAATTTTAAAAGACTGTTCTGCATTTTAGTGTGCATATTAGAACCACCTGAGGTTAATTTTTAAGTATCTTAGTAATATATGGTAGGAAAATCCTGGAAGTTAAAAAGTTATTACAAGCAAGAATGAACTAACTTTAAAAAAGCTACACAAATAAACTCTTATAAATTTATCCAACTTCTTACTGCCACCCATGGTAAATGAATATTAAATATGCAATATCAATCACCTAGAAAGTTGTTTTTCTTTTGATTTGTCATACTATCGTCATTGATTTATTTTCAGTGCCCTCTACGAGATGTGTGTAGTCTTCTATGACTTTGGCTATCTAGTCTTGCTTTTTCCCAGAGGTCTTAAGTATATCATTTCATATGTTCATAAAACTCATTTTAATTAAGGACTTACTGTATAAGACTGAGAATAAATAAAGCAGTAAACTCATAGGAGGTAGCAAAAGAAGCAACGATCCCTGCCCTTTTGCAGCTTACATTTCAGTAGGGGGATTGTAGACCACAAGTAATGTAAATAAATATGTTAGCTGATAATATTGATAGAACAGGAAAAGGAAGGGGAGTTGTGATTTAAATGATTCAGGATGAGAAATGGCATGTGGACAATGATCTGAAGGAGATAAGGGAGAAAGTATGTTGTCATCCAAGGGAAGAGAATGCTAGCTAGTACTAAGGCCCTAAAGTGGGAATGTGTAACAGCAACAGCAAAGAGGTCAGTATGATTAAAACCAGGAGTGTGGGGCCAGCAGGTGGCATGGTGGTTGAGACATCGGACTCCTATACAGCTGACAGCTCTTTGAGTTGTCACATTGCAGTCTTCTTCCCCTAGCCCTTGAGTTCATCGAGATCTTGGGTGCAGTTGTGAACACCAAACATGTTTCATGTCTATGAAAAGGGAGAGCCAAACCTGTGACTGGCCATATGGCTTCCAACACTGCAGTTGAGTACACTGCTGACTGACTGGGGGGGCTGGTCTTTGTATAGATTTTTTAAATGAAGGGCCAGCTGTTTATGACATAATCTCTGGTAAAATTAATTGTGGTGTCATAAATAGGTGTATATCACTCTTGGTAATACAGTGGTAAAGGAGATGAATTGAAACATCCAAGTCTTCTTACATGAAGTATATTTACTTATGGATTAATAATTATTCCATGTAATGGCAATGTGATAAGAAAAAGTACTGGATTGTTTTCATAAAGTAGTTGCTCTTTAAGGTTAAGTAACCATGTAATTGTAAAAAGCACCTTAAGGTAAGGAGCTTTTTTTTTTTTTTTTTTAATTTCATCAAGTGTTAATTGTAATTTTTTTTTTTTTTTTTTTTTTTTAGCTTCTACATTACCAGATTTCTCTTCAGTGGAAGTGTAGTGCTTTATAGTTCAAGTTTAGATATGTCTTTGCCAATGATAGGTCCTTGAGTGCTTTTCCCCTTCCTGTCTTTTTTCTTGTTTGTTGTTTCTTTCATGAGAAAAGAGAGAGAGAACCCCTAATAAGGTCTTGGTGCTGCAATCCATATTCATGAGCCAGATGTGCCCAGCATATTCAGGGAGGTCTCCAGACTTGAACCAGCAGCCTTCCCATTTGGGATTGCTTCGCAGAACTCCATGTTTCACTGCTGGGCCGTCACCCTGCCCCTGTGATTCTTCTGATTTCTCTCACATCTCTACTCTTTCTATAGTGAATGAGTCAGCTATTTTGTTTTCTTATTTCTCCTTTAATCTCCTGTGTACTCTAGATAGGATCTAGTTTGGATAATCTTGGTTGATGAAGTTAGACTAGTTTGGAAGGGTTACTAAAGCAGTTGTTTTGAGCAATTAACTATTACTTATATTGGACAATTGATGTTCCTTAAACTTAGTTTTCAGAGTCCTTTACAGCCTATATTTCCTTGTAACTATGTAGTTTTCTGTCCTAAGCAAAACATTTTGTTTACTGTCCCCCAAATAATGCTCAGTAATGTATAAGTACAATGCATATGTAAGGCATAAATATGTCCCAGGCTTTTCCATGTCTCTGTTTCTTCTTAAGGCATTTTACCTTCCTCAAATTTCTTTTCATCTCTTCTCCACTATCCAGATTTCTACCCATATTTCAAGACCAAATTTATATTCAGCCTTTCCAAGAAAACCTGTTTTCTCTACCTTAACTTAAAATGTATTTTCTTCCTTAAATTTTTATAGAAATAACCATTGGGAGTTAACCATAAACTTTTATTTATTGCTACCTTTGGACAATTATTTTACAAGTATTAGATTTCTCCAAAAAACAGAAGAAATAAGGTGTGTGCGTTCATGTGTGTATGGAGAGAGCGAGACATATTTATGATAAGGAATTGGCTCAGGCAGTTATGAAAGCTGACAAGTCCTAAGATCTGCAGGATGAGTTGGCAAAATGAAAACCCAGGAAAGCCAATGGTATAGTTCCAGTTCAAAGGCTAGCAGGCTTTAGACCCAGAAAATCCAATGTTTCCGTTGAAGACAGGAAAAAGAAACGACATTCCAGTTTATAGGTGATCAGGCAAGAGGAATTCTCTTAGTATTTATTTTGCTGTTCCTTTGAAGTGCCTTGTCTTACCAGCTTGAATATAAGCATCTAGAGGGCAGAACTACAAATCCTGTGTGCTCGTTAACCTTCCAAGAATCCTTGCATTCTTCCGTGTAGTAGGTATATCTACATACTCTATATAACCATTACATTTTAGAGTTGGAAAGGACTTTTAAGGTATTCCTATTTTAGAGTTGGAAATTAAAGAGTAACTTTCGAATGGGAAGAAATAATACTATACCTCTTCACTTGTGGTTAGAAGAATGAAATAATGTATGTGGAATCATTTAGGACAGAACCGGTCATATAGTTAATGGTTTAACAATTGCATTTCTTGGTGTTTAGAAAAGTTAAGTGACTTATTAAGACTTTTTAAAATTTTTGCTTTGTTTATTTATAATAGAGGATATGCGCACGAGAGGGAGAGAGAGAGAGAGAGAGAAGAACCTTTGACAGGGTCTTGTTATGCTGCAGTGCTCTTTCCCCAGTCCTCTAGCTCCTCAGGATTCAGGGTGCACGCACACGTACCCAGTGTGTTTTCAGGCCATCCTGGGAATCTGAACCCATGGTCAGTCATGTGGCTTCTAGCACTGTAGTTACTTCAATTTACTTATTGCACCACCAGGCTGGGCCTTTTTTCCTTTTTTTTGCTTAGGAACAAGAATCAAAATGGTTTGCAAAGTCCTTTAATATAGGAAATTAGGCAATATTTTTGGAGATTTATTTCCCCCCTTTTTTCCTTTCATTTAAGACTATATATAATACATCATTCAAGTTTTTTTTTTTTTTTAATTTTTTTTTTGCCTTTAGGGCACATGTGCTTGCAAGAGAGAGACAGAGAGAAGGAAAGTGAGAAATCATCCCTTAGGGTGGATGCCCACCTTCTCTATTTTCCTCTCAGGACTTGGGCATTTATGCACATGCGCCCAGTGTGATTTTCAAGCCTCTGAGTCTGGGATTGGAACTGCTATTGGCCATGATGGACCATAGAACCTTAACCACTATACCATTTGCTGGTCCCATCACTCAGGTATTTTTGTTTGTTTTTTCTAGATTTTTTTTTTTATAGGGCATGTGCATACTTGCCAGAGAGAAAGTGAGAGAGAAAGTAAGAAATAACTCCCCAGGAGCAATGACCAGCCGCAATCCCTTTGCCTCCATTCTCCTCCTGGGATTTTGGGTACCTGGTGTGATCTTCAAAGTGCCAGGACTGGGACTCATACTGCAGTTGGCAATGTGGGAGTCCAGTGCCTTAACCACTGTGCCACCTACTGGCCTCCCATCATTCAGTTTTTCCTTTTTTTGAGAGAGAGATTTTTGCTATGTGGTGTGTGTGCTTGCCAGAGAGACAGAGAGAATGAAAGGGAGAAATCACCCTATAGGGAGAATGGCCATGCCACAATCCCTGTTCCTCCATTTTTCTCTCGGGATTTTAGGTATGCATGCACACATGCCTAGTGTGAGTTTTAGGCTACGGGGTCCAGGACTCAAACAGTAGTTGATTTTGTGGGAGTCCAGTGATGTATCCATTATGTCATCTGCTGGTCCCCCATCATTCACTTTTTCATATTCAGTATTGTCCCACAATGAGAACTTACTTAATTTGAGGTAATGTCATTCTTTCCTCAAAGGATTTTTACTTGACTTGTTAAATTTGTTGATTTATATTCAAGATTCCAATAGGTATTCAGTCATAAGGGATTATAACCAGTTGGCAAGTTTTATTTTGAATAGGATTGTATGGATGTTGCAGGTTGAGGCTATAGAAGCTTAAGTCACAGTATCTAAACTCCAGAAAACTTTTTTTTTTTTTTTTTTTTGAGAGGTTTTTGCTATAGGGCGCATGTGCTCACCAGGAAGACAGACAGAAAGCGAGAAATCACCTCCCTTTTTTTGGGATGGCCATGCCACAATCCCTTCTCCATTCTCCACTTGGGATTTGGGGCATACACGCACACGTGCCCGACATAAGTTTAAGCCACTGAGTCCGGGACTCAAACCAGGTAGACTACAAGGGAGTCCAGTGGCATAGCCATTATGCCAACTGCTGGTCCCAACTCTAGAGTACTTGAATTTGAACTTAAATATTTTTTTTTTTTTAGAAAAATGAAATGGATGGTTTTAAAATGTTTACATTTAATTTTTTATTCTTTCTAGAGTTCGTCATAAACATATCTTAAAGCCTTCAAGATGGTTCTAGCAGACCTAGGAAGAAAAATAACATCAGCATTACGCTCATTGAGCAATGCCACCATTATCAATGAAGAGGTATGTAAAATATTTCGTGGACTATTTATGATCATGTGTCATCACTAGAGACTATTAATAACTTCTGTGTTTATACTTACTTTGATGTAGAGTTAATACCTATAGATGAGAACCTAAAACCAACTATTATAAGTAGTGTTTTTTGAGAAATCAAGTACAGTCATGCAGTTTGCATTTAGACTGGAGTATGTTCTTAGGAATGTATCACTAGTCAATTTCATCATTGTGCAAGCATCATAGAGTGTACTTATTACAAACCTAAGTGATATAGCCTACTTACACTCTTAGGCTATTTGGTATAATCTATGGGACCACCGTCACATATGCAGTCTGTCGTTGGCCAAAATGTCATTTATGCAGCACATGACTGTATCTTACTATTATTTCAACTTTATCAAAGACTTTCAAAAGAAAAAAAGACCTTAGCACTTGTAGAAATAATATTTTACCTTTTGATAAATGACTTAAATCTAGAAATAGATTTTTTTGCTTTTTCTCTTGACATAAATGTGAAACTGCATTATTCTGCTCTTTTCTTCTTGACTAGGCATGTGCTTATCTGACCTTTTCTCTTTGATTTTTGTCTGGCATTCTTATGAAAAGGCTAGTGTTTTCATCTTGACTACTTTGATTCATTTACTCAAAATCCTTTCAGTTTTTCAGAGATCTTGTAAGGTCATATCTGAAATATTCTTCCCTGGCTTCCTTATTTTAAGATTTTGTCTTAGAGGTTTGTTAATTGAAAAAAGATGATTATAATCTACAAGTATACTATACATTTTGTACTAACAGTGGACAAAGTACTGAACTTGGTGTTAAAAGACCTTGGTTAGATAGTCTCACTAATTTTAGTCACTGTTGGATATACATTTTGGCAAGTCCATCTTAGATTCCTATGTATAAAATGAGAAAATTGCATTTGCATTACAAAATGATTTTGTGGGAAAAGATGAAGTGATAGATTAAATGTACTTCCTAACTTGGAGATTTGGAAGCAAATTCTAATACAGAGTTTGATGTCAGTGCTTTAATAAGCTAATGGAATTAAGTAAGTTTGAGACTATCACAGTTAACCTAATCCAGTCTCTGATTTATCAGAAACAGACAGTTTAACTTGGTTATGAATTGGAAGAACCAAGATTAGAATCTTATTTTCCTAAAATTCCCTTTTCAGGGATTTTTCTAGTAATTATTAAATAAAACAAAACTTAAACCATTGTTTAGTTTTATAATTCAGAATAAGTGAAACAACAGCTTTCCAATCAGTTTCCTCTGTTGTTTGACCCTTACGATCTTTGTGTTTATAGTAAAGAAAAGGAAACCAGGGAAGAAGTGCTTGGTGAGAAGTATCAATAGAATAACAGCTGTTGCTTGAATTGGCAGCTTCTCTGGTCTTGCTACCACGCTCCTAGTGAATTAACAGAGAGAAATCCCTCTAGCAAGAACTTATTTCCAGTTTTTTTGGAGAGGTTTTTCACTATAGGGCGCGTGCGCTCACCAGACAGACAGAGACATTGAGACAGAAAGCGAGAAATCACCCCCCAGGGGGGATGGCCACGCCACAATCCCTTCTCTTCCATTCTCCTCATGGGATCTTGGGCAGACACGCACATGCGCTCGGCGTGAGTTTAAGCCACTGGGTCCGGGACTCGAACTGCGGTTGACTACGTGGGAATCCAGCAACATAGCCATTATGCTAACTGCTGGTTCTCCTGGCATGTTTTTCAAGAAGTTGTCAGATCCAGGACTCAAACTATAAAGTTGGTCATGTGAGATCCAGCTGCCTTAACCATCAGGCCGTGGGGCCAGCCCTTGTTTTATCTTTGCCAAGCTGTGGTAGTATATGATAATTGATCAACCACTACTTTTAAGTAATTAAAATGATAGCCTGGATGCTTTAAAATTTTATTTATTTATTTTCAGGTATTAAATGCTATGCTAAAAGAAGTATGTACAGCATTATTGGAAGCCGATGTTAATATTAAACTAGTGAAGCAACTAAGAGAAAATGTCAAGTAAGTCAAAATAATCAGGTAAAAAGCAGACGAAATTAAGTTTAATTTATTGGGATGAAGTGTCAACTGGAAAAGTTTGGTATATGATGAAATATTTCACTATTTTTGTTATAAAACCCTAGAAAAATATAGAACTCATATGTTGGAGACTGGGTGTATGATTTGTTTCCATGTGATGGGTCAAAGAGTAAAGTATATGTAACTTTAATTATGATTTTTTTTTAAATTCAACTACTCCTTTATTTGAATGGATTCAATTATATGGTATATAGTAATTTAATATAAAAGCCTTTTAATAATTCAGATTCTTCTTAGAAAAGTGGTAGGATTTTATCCTCTTCAGGCTTAAGGGGACATTAATCAGCCTCCTTCGTTACTGGAGAACTATATTACGTTTTGTTCTCCTTTTGGTTTCTCTGTTCATTTCTGAAGGAAGTAGTAATGCGTGTGGTCTTAGTTATTGTACTCAGTGGGAGAGGCTCTGCCCGGGCAGGACACACACAATACAGCTACCTAATTAACTGCTTTAATCTCACCTCTTTTCCTGCTCAAGACATCCCTCCCTTTTGTATTGTTAGACTGGAAATAGATAAGGAACTACTAGCATTTACGCATTGTGAACTAGAGAAAGAAGTCCTGTTTTCTCTGTGGTAAAGCCGGATGAGCTACGTAAGCTGTAAGAAAAATAAAATTAGTGCTTTGCAGTGATTTGAAGTGTACATTAATATTTATATTTTCAAATAAAAGCCTTGAAAAACCAAAGTCTTACATCCTATTTTTCTTGGTTAAATTCTTTATGATATAGACTTACATATCTGTAGTAATCATATGCGTGTTAACGGAGTTCTGTTAATATGAATGATTAAATATTACACTCTTTAAGCCAGAAGCTTTTTTTTTTCACTGACTTCTCTTTCCTACCCCAAACATTACCATCATAAAGGTCTGCTATTGATCTTGAAGAGATGGCATCTGGTTTGAACAAAAGAAAAATGATTCAGCATGCTGTATTTAAAGAACTCGTGAAGGTAAAAAGTATCATGATTGTGCTATGATTTTGTAGACTTTGGATACAGATACACAGCATTACAAGCCCAAGCCCAGCCATAGTGGCATTGCTCTCTGCAGCCATGTGGAGGATCAGAGTTGGGTTTCTCTGGACACACCAGGGACATATCAGGGTACACAGAAGAGCTGCTGTGATTCTGACTGGCTGAAGGACTGACGGAGATCACATGTGGAACCCTATTGAATATCACTTTCCCTCTGTCTCTCATGGAAGAAATCAATAAATAAGCTTAAATATATGTACTAATACTAAAATAAACCATTTCAGAATCCTTTTTTCATGTGTTTTTATAGAATATTCATCTATACTAATATACTGATAGAGAGATTGTTACCTTTTTTAAAGTGGCCTGTTTTTATTATGAACTTTACTGAGTATGGAATCCTGGATATAAATATTCAGGCTGTTCCTGCAAAAATAGACACAGGGTTTACATGTCAAGATCCATCGCCAGTCTTAGCTGGCTTGGATGATGGGCACAGGCATGCATGCCTGGTATGTTGGAGAGGTCCCATATTGTGGATTTATTATTATATTGGGACACATGTTTCAAACTCCAAACAACTAACTTGCAACTGAATTATTATTTTATATGCACTTTTTTAAATGTCATGTACTTGGACTAGCAGATGGTGTGGTGGTTTAATTGTGCTGGACTCCCACATGGCTGATTGTGGTTCTAGTCCTGGACCTGGTGGCTTGCTTTCTCTCTCTCTCTTTTTGTCCCTCTCTGGTCAAAATAAAATAAATAAATAAATAAATAAATAAAGTTAAAATGATCTTTAAAAAAAATGCCATGCGCTTATTAGTTTGGGGACTGTTCCTATAGTGAACGTCTAATTTTTCATTCTCATTATAAAACTGATAATTATTTTTGAGTAGCCCTCTAATTTAGTAACCTTATAGAACAGTAGATCTTTGGCATTGGAGAATTTACTATTTGACCTCGAGGCTCTTGATCATTCGTAAACATTTGTCAAATTGAACATTGACGGAACCAGCAGGTGGCATGGTGATAAGGCGCTGGGGCACTCCCACATGGCCAACCATGGTTTGAATCTTGGACCTGGCAGCTTGCTTTCTCACTTTCTCTCGCTCTGTCTTGCTCTGGTCGAATTTAAAAAAAATAAATAAATAAAATAAATAAATAAATAAATAATTCTTTGAAAAAATAAACTTTGACTAGCAAGATTTAAGAAAAAAAGATTGAACATTGACATAAATACTCTCCAGTGCGGTAGCCACTAGCCACATGTGGTTATTAAACACTTGTAATGTGGTTAGACCAAATTGAGATGTGCTTATATATATGAAATACATACCAAATTAGAAGACTTAGTATGGGAAAGGAATGTAAAATATCTCATTTTAAAAATAATTGATTGCATGTTGAAATAATACCTTAGATATACTGGATTATTAAAAGTGCTATCTGTTTTAAATGTTACTGCTAGAAATTTTAAAATTCATATGTGGCCTACACCTATATTTTTGTATTATATTTCTGAAGTGCTGATTTAGATTATTCCTCTGGCTCAAATTTGTTCCCACATTTTATTTCACCCTCTAGCTTTTTCTCAAAAATGTTTTGAGATCTGTATCCTTGTGCTGGTTTGATAGTCTGGGCTTTATTATGACTTTACAATGTGTTTTACATTTTTCAGTTTTACTCTGTATACACAAAGGGGATTAGTAGAGTTGCAATAGAATGGTAGTGTGGTGGTTTTTAGGGCCAACTAATATCATGGCTCCTAGTAGTTGGCTGGTTCCTACATGGCCAGTTCTGCAGTTTGAGTCCTTGAGCTGGCAGCTTGAAAATACACTGGGCACATGTGAGTGTGTGGCCAGATCCCAAAAGGAGGGAGAGATGGAGAAGGGATTGTCGCATGACTACCCCCATGGGAGTGCTTTCTCACGTTTTTGCTCTCCAGTGAAATTAAGTGTCCTCTGGCAAAAAGAAAAATAATATTTAAATTACCCTTTTTTGTTTTAGAGAGAGAGATTTTCGCTATAGGGTGTGTGCACTCACCAGAGAGACACAGAGACAGAAAGTGAGAAATCATCCCCCAGAGGGAAGGCTACACCATAGCCCCTTTTCCATTCTCCTCTTGGGATTTTAGACACAAAGGCACATGTACCTGGCGTGAGTTTTAAGCCACCGGGTCTGGGACTTGAACTGCAGTCAACTACGTGGGACTCTATGATAGCCATTGTGCCATCTACTGGTCCCTTAAATTACATTTTTTTTTAAAGACTTATTTTGGTTTTTTATTTTGACTATATTAATTTATTTATTTACATAATTTGACCAGAGAGGGACAGAGTGAAAACTAGAGATATAAAGTGAGAAATCCAGCGCCCTTAAGTACCACGCCACCTGCCGGTCCCTTAAAAGGTGTATGGGGGCTAGTGGAGGTGTGGTAGTTAAGGTGCTGGACTCCCACAGGGTTGTCACGGTTTTGAGTCCTGGACCTGATAGCTTGCTTGCTTTCTCTCTGTTAAGGTTTATAAAAATATAATAATGATGATAATGAATAAAATTAAGTAACTCTTTTTTAAAAAGTTGTAGGGGGATATATTTTAAAGAATTCTTTCTTTTTTTGGAGAGGTTTTTGCTATAGGGCGCATGCACTCACCAGAAAGACAGAGAGTGACAGAGAGATAAAGCGAGAAATGACCCTGTAGGGGGGATGGCCACACTGCAATCCCTTCTCCTCCATTCTCCTCTCAGTATCTTGGGCACGCACGCACACGTGCCTGGCGTGAGTTTAAGCCACCGGGTCCAGGACTCGAACTGCGGCCGACTACGGGGGAGTTTAGCACATAGCCATTATGCTAACTGCTGGTCCCTAAAGAGTTATTTCTTAGGGCTAGCAGGCAGTGTGATGGTTAAGGTGCTGAACTCCCACATAGCCATGCGTGGTTTGAGTCCCAGACCTGGTGGCTTGTTTTCTCACTTTCTCTCTTCTCTCCCTCTCTGGTAAGTGCATGTGTCCTATAGCAATATTTAAAAGCAAAAACAAAAACAAACCCACACTAATAATAATAATTAATTTAATTTTAAAAATAATTCTTAAATGATTATTTCTCTAATTATATTTATTATTATTATGACTTTTCAGTTTGCTATAGGGTAGGTACATGCATGTCCATGTGGGAGAAAGCAAGAAAGCAAACCACCAGATCCAGGACATGAACCATGGTCAGCTGCGGAGAGTCTAGCACCTTAACCACCATACCACCTGCTGGCCCTGGGGAAGCGTTTTTGAATGTAAGCATATGTTAATCTGATTTTATGTTACTTTTGGTATATAGCTTGTAGACCCTGGAGTTAAAGCATGGACACCCACTAAAGGAAAGCAGAATGTAATCATGTTTGTTGGATTGCAAGGGAGTGGTAAAACAACAACATGTTCAAAGGTAAGTTACTCTTAATTAAAAATAAGAGAGTTATGGTGCAGGTAATAAGGGCACTGATTGGGCTATGCTGGAGGCAGTTTAGGATGGTCCAGGGTTTGTGTTCTGAGTCTGCCTAGTGTGCTGAGTGTGCCAATGGATGCACTTGTGATCCTGACTGACTGGAGGACTTGGAGGTGGATCACAGTGTGACAACCTTGTTTCTCCTTCCCGCCATCCCCACCATGAGGGAAATAAACTTTAAAAAGAGGTCGTACATTTGGGGACCAGCAGTTAGTGTAATGGCTATGTCGCTGGGCTCCCATGTAGTGGACCGCGGTTTGAGTCTCGGACCCGGCGGCATAAACTCACGCCGGGCGCATGTGCGTGCATGCCCAAGATCCCGAGAGGAGAATGGAGGAGAAGAGATTGTGGTGTGGCCATTCCCCCTGGGGGGTGATTTCTCGCTTTCTGTCTCTCTCTGTCTGTCTGGCAAGTGCACGCGCCCTGTAGCTTAAAAAAAAAACCTCTCCAAAAAAAGAAAGGAAAAAAAAAGAAGTCATACACTGTAAAGATATATGTGATTAAATGTAATATAAAAATAATAATAATAAATAAATATTAAAAGTCAGAGAAAAACCTTTTATATTAATCAAGTTTTATGTTAAAGCTAGCTTTATAATCTTATTTCTTTACAGTTTTGTTGCTTGATGTGTATATGAAAGAACTTCTAAAAGTTTATAGAAAATGCATCCTATGAGAAAACTGCATAGATTAAAAAATTAATTTATACCAAATAAACTTATACCTTAATTCCATTTTTCCACGAACTTTTTAAAGTCCCTTTGTAGTAAGTTTTTTGGTAATAGTTTTTTTGTAGGATAAGAGAGACTATCATAATCTCTGGTGGTGGCTTTATTGTACGGTAGACTTGGGGCTAATAGGTGGTGTGGTGGTTAAGGCACTGGGCTCCCACATGGCCAACTGCAGTTCAAGTCATGGACTAGATAGCTTGCTTTCTCACTCTCTCCTCTTCTCTTCTTCCCTCCCTCCTTCCCTCCCTCCCTCCCTCTCTCTCTCTCTCTCTGGTGAGCACATGTGCCCTTTAGCAAATTAAAAAAAATAAAAGTAACAAAAAAAGAATATTGGTACTTTTTTTTTTTTTTAATAAAAGAGACTTTTCTTTTAAGGAAGTAAGTATATGGGTTTTTTGGAGATGAAAACATGGAAAGTTTCTCTTCTCTTTCTTCTAAGATTCAAGACCTCTTTTCACTGAAAGTATCTCACCCAGCATAATATGTTATTTTGTGTATTCTTATGTTAACTTTTAATTGATTATATCACCCATACCTCCAAAATTGTGTGCTTCAAATTGTTGATCAGTTTTTTGTTTGTTTTTTTCCCTTTTTTCTCCCCACAAGCCTCGTAGTTTAGGTTTTTTTTTAGAAAAAGGGGTAGAGACAAGCAGATGGTGTAACTGGTATGTTGCTAGATTCCCACATGGTCAACCATGATTTGAGTCCCAGACCTGGTAGGTTGAAACTCAGGCCAGCACATGTGAGTGCACGCCTAAATTCTTGAGAGGAGAATAGAGGAGAAGAGATTGTGGTTTGGCCATTGTCCTGGGGTCTGATTTCTCTCTGTCTCTTTGTCTCCTAGCAAGTGCACATGCCCCATAGCAAAAATCTCTCTCTCAAAAAAAAAGGATTTTTTGTGTTATTGTTTATTTTCACTTAGTTACTACTAGTAATAGTATTTTTACTGATCATTTGCTTCTTGATCCTTTATGTTCTTTAAATGTGACCGTGTGACGATTAGAACTTAAACTCTTTATGAAATTTGCTAAATTAAAAAAATCTCTAATGCTACTACTTTCAGGAGAATCATCAACAGTTTAACTTTACTCTTTAGATAAATAATAAGAGTAATTATGTATAATTATGTTTTGTTTTATGATATTACATTTTTTAAATCTTCCTTTCCTAGTTAGCATATTATTACCAGAGAAAGGGTTGGAAGACCTGTTTGATTTGTGCAGACACATTCAGAGCAGGTAATGTGTTGAAATTTGAAAATTGTTTTCTATTATTTTCATTTTTAAGTGTGAGGATTCATTAATTTTTTATCTCCTAGGGGCTTTTGACCAACTAAAACAGAATGCTACCAAAGCAAGAATTCCATTCTATGGAAGGTAGGTTACTGTTTTTTTTGTTTTAATACTTAACATATTTGTTTGACCTTATAGTTGGTGGTATCTGGTTATGTTTTAATGTATTTTAGGAGCTTAAACTCTTTCTGGAACAAAGTGGAGGTCTAATTAATAAGTTATTTTTTGTAACTGTATTATGACCCCTCTGATCCAACCTGGTGGACAGAGTAGATATTTATTTTGTTCACAACTCTCTGTACTGATTTTCCTGCCTGGCATGTTTTCTTACCTCTTTCTGCCTCTATTTATACCTTCTCTTAAGACCTGTTTGAAACTTTACATGATTAAGCATATACTGGTGTTTTGCTTACAGTTTTTTTTTTTTTTTTTAGTATACCATTTAAAAAGATTTGTTTTTGTTTATCCTAAAATGGTTTATACTCTCTACCTCAAACCGAAAACTCTGATCATTGTTATCCCTCACTTGGTACATTGCTGTTCATTTAGGTAGTTTGTAAATGTTAGATTATTTTAAAATAAGTGAGGGGCCAGTTATTGGTGTGGTGGTTGAGGCACTGGACTCCCTTGAGTCTCGGATCCATAAAAAGATTTGTTTTTGTTTATCCTAAAATGGTTTATACTCTCTACCTCAAACCGAAAACTCTGATCATTGTTATCCCTCACTTGGTACATTGCTGTTCATTTAGGTAGTTTGTAAATGTTAGATTATTTTAAAATAAGTGAGGGGCCAGTTATTGGTGTGGTGGTTGAGGCACTGGACTCCCTTGAGTCTCGGATCCAGTGGATTACTTTGTCACTTTCTCTCTTTCTCTGTCCCTCTCTGGTCAAATTAAAAAAATAATAAATATAATAAAATAAAATAATAATTTTAAAAAAATAAATGATTGAATCTAGGTTGAATTTGGGACTTAAATATTGTTTTCTTCTTCATGGAGCACATGTATGAGCTTGGAAGCAGGGAGCATCTTCTACAGTGTCTGGTCATGTGATCCCCTTCCTGTGTCACTTGGTCATGGGTGCTCAAGCACATGCCTAATATAATTAAGACTGACCAGCCTGGGGATTTGAGCTGTGGTCACCATGATATCTAGCTGCTCTTTAGCATGGCACCTCTATCCCATAGAGCTGGCCCTAGAAGGACTTAAGCTTCTTCTTAATTAGAAGGACTTTTACTTATTACGTATTTATTTATTAAGTCATTGGAAAAGTCATGATGCATTTTTTCATGTTTTTCTATGAAAAATGCGTCATGACTTTTCCAATGACCCAATTTTTTTTGGAGAGGTTTTTGCTATAGGGCGCCTACGCTCGCCAGACAGACAGAGACAGAGAGATAGAAAGTGAGAAAACACCCCCCGGGGGGGTGGTCACGCTGCAATCCCTTCTCCTCCATTCTCCTCTCGGGATCTTGGGCACGCACGCACATGTGCCCAGCGTGAGTTTTAAGCCACTGGGTCCGGGACGTGAACCGTGGTCGACTACATGGGAGTCCAACAACATAGCCATTACGCCAGCTACTGGTCCCACGACCCAATTTTTTTTTTTTTTAATTTTTATAAGATGTATGCATCTCCCAGAGAGAGAAACAGAGAAAAAGAGGGAAAAATCACCCTCTAGGGAGGATGGCCATGCTGCAGTCCCTTCTCATTGTCTTCTCTGGATTTTGGACACCTAGCATGTTTTTCAGAATGCCAAGTTTTAGACTTAAACTGCACAGTTGGCCATGGGAGATCCAGTCCCTTTAACTACCATGGCACCAGGTGGCCCAAACTTATGCTTTCTGGCTCGCCAAAATAGCTAGTAAGCTTCAGCTATGTTGATGTTTATTTACATTTTCTTCTCTAAGGGTTTTTTTTTTTCTTTTTTTTTTTTAATTTTTCTAGAGGATTTATACACTCATTGGAGGGGTGGGGAGTGAGAAATACTTCCCATGGGGCATGGTCATGCTGCAGTTCTTCCCTTTCCATTTCTCTCTCCTTTTTGGTATTTTGGAATACACATGCACCCAGAGTGTTTTTCCTCTTTTTTTTTTTTTTTTTAAGAATTATTTATTTCATTTTTTATTATCATTTTTTAATTTGCTGCAAGGCATATACACTCACCAGAGAGAGACAGTCAGAGACAGAGAGTATGGGAAAGTGAGAAGGCAAGCCACCAGGTCAAGTACTTGGATCACATTGGCCATGTGGGAGTCCAGCAAGCATCTCAGCCATCATGCTACCTGCTGGCCTTGATGCTATTTATTATACTATCATCTGTTCTGTCTTTAAAAATAATAATAATAAAAATCACTTTTAATAAAAAATTTTTGGAGAGGTTTGTGCTATAGGGTGTGTGTGCTTGCCAGAGAGACAGAGAGACAGAAAGTGAGAATTCACTTCCCAGGGGGGATGGCCACGCCACAATCCTTTCTCCTCTCGGGATCTTGGGCACACACGCACATGCGCCCGGCATGAGTTTAAGTCACCAGGTCCGAGACTTGAACCACGGTCAACTACATGGAAGTCCAGCGACATAGCCATTACGCTAACTGCTGGTCCCTTAATAGATAAAAAATTTTTGAAGAAAAAGTAAAAGTACCAGAACTTTTTGTTGTTGTTTTTGGAGAGGCTTTTGCTATAGGGCGCGTGCACTCGCCAGAAAGACAGAGAGACAGAAAGTGAGAAATCAACCCCCAGGGGGGATGGCCATACCGCAGTCCCTTCTCCGTTCTCCGTTCTCCTCTTGGGATCTTGGGCACGCACGCACACATGCCCAGCATGAGTTTAAGCCACCGGGTCCGGGACTCGAACCACGGTGGACTACGTGGGAGTCCAGCGACATAGCCATTACACTAAATGCTGGTCCCAAAAGTACCAGCACGTTTTCCCTGAAGAGGGTTTTGTTTTGTTTCGTTTTGTTGTTTTTTGCTATAGGGCGCATGCGCTCACCAGACAGACAGAGACAGAGAGACAGAAAGCGAGAAATCCCCCAGGGGGGATGGCCACGCCACAATCCCTTCTCCTCCATTCTCCTCTCGGGATCCTGGGCACACACGCACACGTGCCTGGTGTGAGTTTAAGGCACTGGGTCCAGGACACAAACCGTGGTCGACTACATGGGAGTCCAGCGACATAGCCATTTTGCTAACTGCTGGTTCCAAGTACTAGCACTTTTCGCTTCTTGCTTTTGAGTTTCACTTCTCACTTTTGAGTTTTGAGTATATCTATGCATTTCTTTTTCTTTTTCTTTTTTTTTTTTTTTTGGAGAGATTTTCATTATAGGGCGCGTGTGCTCGCCAGACAGAGAGAGACATAGAGAAAGAAAGCGAGAAATCACTCCCCAGGGGGGATGGTCACGCCGCAGTCCCTTCTCCATTCTCCTCTCGGGATCTTGGCACGCACACACACACGCCAAGCATGAGTTTTAAGCCACCGGGTCTGGGACGTGAACCGCGGTTGACTACGTGGGAGTCCAGCGACATAGCCATTACGCTAACTGCTGGTTCCCTTTTTTGTTTGTTTGTTTGAAAGGTTTTTGCTATAAGGCACGTGTGCTCGCCAGAAAGACAGAGAGAGACAGAAAGCGAGAAATCACGCCCCAGGGGGGATGGCCACGCCGCAATCCCTTCTCCTCCGTTCTCCTCTCAGGATCCTGGGCACACACGCACACGCACCCAGTGTGAGTTTAAGCCACCGGGTCCGGGACTTGAACCGTGGTCGACTACATGGGAGTCCAGCAACGTAGACATTACGCTAACTGCTGGTCCCTATATCTATGCATTTTTCAGTGTCTATACAATTTAATGAACTACAGATAAAATATATACACAGAATCGATTGTTTTAAATTAAAATAAGTTTTTTCAGTGCTTTCGAACCTTGATTACTGTGGTCGTGGCTATATGGATTGTATATATTTGTCAAAACTCATCAAAATCAACAGTAAGGGGCTGGCAGGTGGCATGGTGATAGTTCAGGGCACTGGACTCCCATGTGGCCAACCATGGTTTGGGTCCTCGACCTGATGGCTTACTTTCTCACTTTCTCTCTCGCTCTTCCCCTCTCTGGTCAAATTAAAATTAATTAATTAACTAGTTAGAATAAAATAATTCTTTTTTTTTTTTGGAGAGGTTTTTGCTATAGGGCATGTGTGCTTACCAGACAGACAGGCAGAGACAGAGAGACAGAAAGTGAAAACTCACCCCCCGGGGGGATGGCCATGCTGCAGTCCCTTCTCCTCCATTCTCCTCTCGGGATCTTGGGCATGCACACACACGCACCCATTGTGAGTTTAAGCAACCAGGTCCGGGGCTCAAACTGCAGTTGACTATGTAGGAGTCCAGGGACATAGCCATTATGCTAACTACTGGTCCCTAGAAAAAAAATATTAAAAAATGTACAATTAACATACATTTTATCATATATTTATATACTGTTGACTGTAGTGTTCTTTATAAATGAGATCTTAATAGTTCTGGAATGGAAAAATGTACTGTTTTAAGGTAATTCTTTTTTATAACACTGTATTTTACTGTGTACATCTGTGCGATGTATTAGTTCCCTTTGAGTGAACATCTTTGATCATATTTATATACACATTTATAAATTGTATTGTAGTTTTATTTTTATATTTTCAAATGTCGCTGGTCTTCCACAGTCGACCATGGTATGAGTCCCAGATCCAGCAGCGTAAAACTCACACCGGGCGCATGTGTGTGTGTGTCCAAAATCCCGAGAGGAGAATGGAGGAGAAGGGATTGCAGCGTGACCATCCCTCTTCGGGGGTGATTGCTCGCTTTCTGTTTCTCTGTCTCTCTCTATTTCTTTGTTAAGCACATGCACCCTATGCAAAAATCTCTCTCAAAAAAAATAATGAAATAAAATGCTTGGTAATGACAATCTGTCATCTTTTTCAGCATTTTCTTGCCTACTTTTATTTCTTTTTTTTTTCTGGATGCATCTAAAAATTCTTATTAACTTAGGGAGAAAAATTTTCCTAAGATATTAATTGAAATTACATTGAAACTGCTTAATTCAGTAGAGAATTGACATTTTTATTGTATTTATATACTATCATTTAGGAACCTATTTTTTTTTTATTCAAAATATTTTAGGTTAGGGTTGGACAGAGGCCCAGTGATAAAATATTATACTCTGTGAGGTGGGCCCACATGGAAGGGTTGTTGGTACATGTCCACAGATTCCCCGAATGCACCAAGTACATGTGTATCCATGATCCAAGTTGGCCGAGGCTAGGAGTGGATCATGTTGTTGGTGTCTTGTCGGGATGCTACATCTTTGTCTTCTTCTCTGTCTCTCTTACCTGTAGAATAGATAAAAACTCTAAAATGTGTTTAAGAAAACTTTTATGTATTTAAGTATAATTATTTTCTTCACTTAAAGTCTCATATTTCTGTGTTTGTGAGAGAGAGTGACGGGGGAAAAGGTATTTTTGACAGGGTCTCATTATATCTCAATTCCCAATCCCAGTCTCCCAGTTAGCTAGCTAGGACTACTGACACATACCTGGCTTATTGAGGCTGAGAATCCAAACCTAGGCCTCCACGTGGCCTCAGCCTTCTCCCGGAGGCACCTTCCTACTTGTCCCACTACGGCTAGGCCATCACATACATGCTTATTAGCTGTCTTCCTACCTGGTTTTATTTTATTTTGAATTTAGGGGAAAAACACTTTATAATAAATGCCTTTTATTTAGCAACACTGATATTTATAGAAAGTTGCCACTAGTCAGAAGAAAGTAAATGTGATCTCATTTCTTGATTTTCAAGTTGGCAAAATTTTTTGTTGAGTATTATGAAAATTTGTGAAGTAGGAATGAAATTAAACTTTCCCCAAGAGGTTTTTGCTATAGGGTGCATGCGCTCGCCAGAAAGACAGAGAAAGAAAGCGAGAAATCACCCCCCCGGGGGGATGGCCACACCACAATCCCTTCTCCATTCTCCTCTCAGGATTTTGGGCACACATGCATACGCACCCTGCATGAGTTTAAGCCTCCCGGTCTGGGACTCTAGCCGCAGTCGACTACCTGGAGTTCAGCAGACATATCCATTACGCCAACTGCTGGTCCTGAGATTAAACTTTTATGAAGGTTTGTTTCCTTTTAAATATCAAAAAAGGACATTTTTACTTTCCTTTATATGTGAAAAGCCTAAGTGGGAATTCTGTCCAAATTCATCTTATAAAAGAGTGTGTCGAGGGACCAGCAGTTAGTGTGACAGCTGTGTCACTGGACTCCCATGTAGTCAGCACGATTCGAGTCCCGGACCCGGCGGCTTAAACTCAAGCCAGGCGTGTGTGCGTGCATGCCCAAGATCCCGAGAGGAGAATGGAGAAGTAAGGATTGCGGCGTGGCCATTCCCCCTGAGGGGTGATTTCTCGCTTTCTATCTCTCTGTCTTTCTAGTGAGTGCATGCACCCTATAGCAAACCCCCCCCCCCAAAAAAAGAGTGTGTTGAAATAGTTTCAAAGAAATACTATTTATGTATTGTCCGTATTGGTTGTATTTTGAATACCAAGAAAGTGAAAAAACTCAAATGTTCAACAATGGGGCATTTATTTAATAAATGGCAGCATAGCCATGTGATGGAATGTTGTAATTTGAAGTGCTTCATCTGCTCTAGAAGTAGATTTTATTCTTCTACATTGAACTTGTGCTCATTTGGCTTTTTTCAAAATAGATTAAAGGTGGAGCCAGCAGGTGGCTTGGTGGTTAAGGCGCTGGACTTCCACATGGTCAACAGTGGTTCAAGTCCTGTACATAGTGGCCTACTTTCTACCTCACTTTCTCTCTCTTAAATGCATGTGCTCTGTAGCTAGTTAAAAAATAAAATAATAAAATAAAAATAGATAAAAGGTAGGCTAACAATTTCCAGATTAATAGTATGTGGATATTTTGCTATTGTGATTATTATTAAATGATTTGGTTTTATTAAATAGCTATACAGAAATGGATCCTGTTATCATTGCTTCTGAAGGAGTGGAGAAATTCAAAAATGAAAATTTTGAAATAATTATTGTTGATACAAGTGGCCGCCACAAACAAGAAGACTCTTTGTTTGAGGAGATGCTTCAAGTTGCTAATGCTATAGTAAGTAGTTTTCAATATAACACTGCTAAAAGGACTTTGGTTAATTTAATTATAAAACCCGATTGAGTTTACTATCAAAATAAATTATTTCTTGGCTATCAGGCAGATTTCAAGTAATTTATTTCCATTTTTAGCACTTACACTTAATCTCATCATTTTTTGATCCCCACTAAATATGAAATTTTCATGAATGACTATCAAAAAAATTTTTTTCTCCTTTTATCATCCTACTTATATGCAAGAAAAAAAAGTTAACCTTTAGTATATTTGAATTTTCTTTTCGTAAATGTTTAAATTGATTGGAATCCTTTAGTTGAATTTTGAAGGCTTTTCAATATGAAGCATTTAAAAACATAATGATACAGCCTCTTTTTAAAATTCTGAGGGAAGGGAACAATGGCTGTGTCGCTAGACTCCCATGTAGTCAACTGCATTTCGAGTCCCGGACCCCATGGCTTAAACTCACGCCAGGCACATGTGTGTGCGTGCCTAAGATCTTGAGAGGAGACTGGAGGAGAAGGGATTGTGGCGTGGCCAACCCCCCTGGGGGGTGATTTCTCGCTTTCTGTCTCTGTCTTTCTGGAGAGCGCACGCAAGGAAAAAAAAATTCTGAGGAAAGTAATGTGGTGAGAAACAGCAGTTTATAGATAATTTAGCATATATCTGTAACCCGTATTTTGATTGATTGGAATATTGGCAGTAATTCTTTGGTTAGTAATTAATGCTGTTAGATTTCTTTAGATATTTACCATAGGACCTGTGTGCTTGCCAGAGAGAGAGAAATGGAGAAAGAGGGGAGAGTGAAATGTCACCCTCTCTGGGTGGATGGTTATACTGCAGTCTCTTCATTTTCCTCTCAGGATTTGGGGCATGACACATAGGTGCCCGGTGTGTGTTTTTCAAGCTTCCAGATGTGGGAAGCTGGGACTTGAACCAGAGAGTTTGCCATGTGGGAATTCAGTGATTTACCCACCATGCCACATACTGACCTGTTAATTGGTTTCTTTTTATTATAGTTATGGTATTATTTTGACCGAATTGAGCAGATTTAAGGGAAGTAGCCTCAGTCTATTTTATTCATTTTGGTTTCAGTATGTGCTTTCTAACTTTTTGTTTGCTTTGGCTATTTCTTTGTCTAGAATGCAATTCTTCTAAATATTTGTATCAGTTTTTCCTCTTTATGCATGCCTCTGCTCAAACAGGCCTCAACTCAAATCTTTGCAGAGTGGCCTTCCCTGGTAACCTTACCTAAAGATGCCAGCCACACTTCAGAACTCTGCTATTCCATATCCCATTTTAGTTGTATATCAAAAATGATTATTTGCCCATTTACTGTTTATCTCCACAGACTAGAATGTAAGTTCCATGAGGATAAGAATTTTCTTATTTATCTCATTGTCCTCAGGACCTAGATATACCTAATATATGATACTACTTCAACAAATACTGATTGAATAATTATTTATACTAAATATTGTTTTATAGTTATAATGAAGAAATTTTTCTTAGGATCAGTAAAATTATGTATTTCTTCTGTTTAAATCTCCTAGCAACCTGATAACATTGTTTATGTGATGGATGCTTCCATTGGGCAGGCTTGTGAAGCCCAGGCTAAGGCTTTCAAAGATAAAGTAGATGTAGCTTCAGTAATAGTGACAAAACTTGATGGTCATGCGAAAGGAGGTGGAGCACTCAGTGCGTAAGTATCACTTACACTATTGTCCTATGTCTTGGGGTTATGAGGTGTATGTTGTGTGTATTTATGGCTTTATTGACCAGTTAAAATACATTCCAATAGTGGGTCTAATTAATTTAATTTTATTATTATTATTATTGTTTTAGAGGTTTTTACCATAGGACACAGGCAGTCTCCAGAGAGACAGAGATATAAAAGAGAAAGTGAGAAATCACCCGTCCTTGGCATGCATGCACATGCACCTGGTGTGATTTTCAAGCCACTGGGTCTGGGACTCAAACCACAGTCAGCCCTGTGGGAGTCCAGCATTACAACCACCAAGCTATCTGCTGGCCCCTATTATTAGTATTTTTAAATTTTGCTATAGGGCACGTGCACTCACCAGAGAGAAAGGGGAAAGGAAAGTGAAAAAGCAAACCCGACAGGTCTGGGACTTGAACCACAGTCAGCCATGTGAGAGTCCGAGAGTCCAGCACCTTAACCACCATGTCGGCTGCTGCCCCTCCATGAAAGAAACTTAAATAGAAATTTAAAATTTGGAGCCTCTGTGATATAGTTTTATTTGATTTTTTTGTTTGCTTCTGTTTTATTTATTTATTTTTTTTAATGTCAGAGGTGCATTTAGAGAGAGAAGGTGCTCTGTAGTGGGACCTGGTCCTATAGCAATTCCCTTTTCTCCATTCTTCTTCCTATTAAGTTCCTGGGTACATGAAGTGAACACATGTGTCCAACATACTCTTTAAGCCAGAGAGGCTGGGGTTTGAACTGTGGTCGGCTATGTGGGAACTGACTTCCTCTACTCAGTGCTTAACCACTGCACTATAGGCCAACTCTATGTTCTGTTTTAACTAAGAGTATTGTACCTTTATTTAATTAGCTTCAAAAATATGTTGTTGTTGAATTTATATTTTCTTTTTCTCTGCAGAGTTGCTGCCACAAAAAGTCCAATTATTTTCATTGGTACAGGGGAACATATAGATGACTTTGAACCTTTCAAAACACAGCCTTTCATCAGCAAACTTCTTGGTAGGTACAGGTATTAGGGATATAGAAAAATCTCCAAGAAATTTTATGAATCTTTAGGATTGATTAAGATTTTAATCCTGCACTCACTAACTAGTTGAGGAAAATAATCTTCTTTGATTTATCTTCCTTACCTGTAAAATAGGGGTAATAGCTGTCTACTTTCCATAGGTAAAGTGGTAAAATCAGATATTACATAGCAAGTTCTTTGGAAAAGTTTTAGGGTACAGTATAAAAATACATGGTTGTGGGATTAGCAGATGGCATAATAGTTACGTCACTGCTCTCCTACGTTGTACATGGTTTGAGTCCCAGACCCAGTGGCTTAAAACCCACACTGAGCTTGTATGCGTGTGTGCCCACAATCCCAAGAGGAGAGTGGAGGAGAAGGGATTGTGGCATGGCCATCCCCCATAGGGAATGATTTCTCATTTTCTGTCTCTGCCTCTCTGGTGAGCACATGCGCCCTATAGCAAAAAATCTCTCTTAAAAAAAAAAGTATGTATGTGTGTGTTTGTGGTTATAATAATAGCAGTTGTGATGATAGTAAAACTTTTGTGATGTTGCAAGGTGGTTTAGGTAGAAGGGAATTCAGAGTTAAGCCCTGGGCTGGAGTCTCTGCTTTATCACTTCTTTGTTGCCTCTTAACCTAATTTCAGTTTTCTCATCTGTAAAGTGTAGCACAAATACTTAACCTACCTATTTCACAGGGTTATGAGTGCATTTTATATAATGTAGAGCATGGAATCCTACTAAATATTAATTTTTCTCTTTTGGATCTTATAGGTATGGGTGACATTGAAGGACTTATAGATAAAGTCAACGAATTGAAGTTGGATGACAATGAAGCACTAATAGAGAAATTGAAACATGGTATATACGCAGCAAAAAAGCATTTGATTTCAGATGTGTTCTTTTTGTTTTAGATAAAGCTACTATTAACTTGAAATAATAATATCGATTAACATATTAGAACAATTCTTTATGTTTCTCATTTTAGATTATATGCAAGTCATTTTTTTTTTTTTTTGGAGAGGTTTTTTGCTACAGGGTGCATGCGCTCGCCAGACAGACAGACAGACATAGAGACAGAAAGCGAGAAATCACCCCCCAGGGGTCATGCTGCAGTCCCTTCTCCTCCGTTCTCCTCTTGGGATCTTGGGCACGCATGCACACGCGCTCGGCGTGAGTTTTAAGCCACCGGGTCCAGGACGCGAACCGCGGTCGACTACGTGTGAGTCCAGCGACATAGCCATTACGCTAACTGCTGGTTCCCTATATGCAAGTCATTTTAAATCACCCTTAAGTGGGGGCTGGCAAGTAGTGTGGTGATTAAGGTACTAGACTCCCACATGGCCAACTGTAGTTTGAGTCCTGGACCTGGTGACTTGCTTTCTCACTTCTCAAATCTCTGGTCAAATTAAAAAATAATAATAACTATTATAATAATAAATAAAATGAAATAATTCCTTAAAATAAAAATTGCCTTTGAGGTCTTCATTGAGTTCCTGGAAGTAAAATAGGTTAAAAGTAAGTTAGAACATACTCTTCTAATCTATTTGTTTTCTTTATATATAGCTTATAAAATATAGAAAAAGACATTTTAAAGCATAAGATTAAGTAAACACTCATTTTCTTCATTTCATGAAAGACCACTCCTACAGAAACATATATCACTGTGATTTAGAGCTCAGATTCTTAAATATAACTGGATTTATATCTTTGATCTATTTTTTAGCTGTCTAACTTTTTCAAATTATTTAGCTTCAATTTTCTTATTTCTAAAAAGTAAATACTGTCATGTGGTTGTAAGACTATATTAGCTGATGCATGTAAAATGTCTAACATGCCATAAACACTCAATATATATTGTTAGCCATTCCATTTCCTCAGCATGATTTTCCCCCATAATTGGGTCTGTGTATTCTGCCTCTTTGTTCTTTTTCACTTAACCTGTCTGATATTTATGCCTTTACCACTCTTAAATATTGGTGTTTTTCAGGTATCATTCTAGACCATCTTCTTTCTCTGGAGCTTTAGACTCATACATTTATGTTTACTAGATGGGTCAGCTGATAGCATGGTGATGAGGGCAGCTGGATCCCACATTGCCGGTTGTGCAGTTAGAGTCCTGGACCTGGTAGCTTGAAAAACATTCCAGGTGCTTATGCATGTGTGCCCTAAATCCCGAAAGGAGAAATGGAAGAGAGGGGATTGCAACATGGCCATTCCCCATGGGGAGTGTTTTTCCACATGCCTTTTCTCTCTGGCAAGCTCACATGCCCTCTATGGGGTGGAGGGTGGGGGGAACAGAAAGAAATGTATGTGTTTATTAGATAATTTTTGGATATTGTAAAGATATCTCAAATTCTATATATCTTTCTATCTTCCCATCCTAACCACGTAGCCCATTGTTATCATCAGTGAATATTATTTTCCTATTGGCAGTCAGAAATTACCTATCCGTTTTCACATCAGTCAATTAATTAGTCCTAGTGATTCTACCTTTTTTTTTTTTTTTTTTTGCCATACAGCATGTGAGCTCACTAGACAGAGACAGAGAAAAAGTGAGAATTCCCCCCCCTCCAGTGGGGATGGCCACGCTGGAGTCCCTTTTCTCTTCTTCTCCTGGCATCTTGGGCATGCACACACACACTCTGGGCATGAGTTTCAAGCCACCAGGTCCAGGACTCAAACCATAATCGGCTGTGTGGGAGTCCAGCAATGTAACCACTACACCATCTGCTGGCCCCCGTGCTTCTACTTCTTAAATATCTCCATTCCATCCCCTTCTGAGCTGCCCTGCATCTGTACTAGTTTATCTCTTACCTAGATTGCTTATTACCTTCTTTAATTGCTTGAAAGTACACATGCTTGTTAGAGAAAGAGAGAACCTAAGCAAGCCCTATGGGGTACAGTCATGCTCTACTCCTTTTTCCACCATCCTCCATCCCGTCAGGATTTTGGGCTTGCATGCACACATATCTGGTGTGCTTTTCAAACACTGGGACTGGGATTCAAACCTTAGTTGGCCACGTGGAATTTGGCTCCCAGTGCATAGTGCTTAACCATTGGACTTCGGGCCTGATTCATACTTTAAATCTTTTAACAGATCTGCCAGCTTCCTGGACTTTTACCTTTTTTATCTATTTTTTGTGCTGTGGCCAAAATGACCTTTCAGAAGTGAAAATCTGATACTATCCTCCTTAAAATCCTTCATTGGCCAAACTAGTAGATGGCATAATGGTTATATTGCTGGACTCCCACGTAGTCAACCGAAGTTCAGGTCCTGGACCCAGCTGCTTAAAACTCATGCTGGGTGCATGTGCTTTCATGCATGCCCAAAATCCCAAGAGAATGGAGGAGAAGGGATTGTGGCATGGCTGTCCTCTGTGGGAGGGGTGATTTCTCACTTTCTGTTTCTCTGTCTTTCTCTCTCAATTGAGCACATGTACCCTATAGCAAAAATCTATTAAAAAAAAAAAAATCTTTCTTTGGCTTCCTGTTGTCCTTAGTGTTTGTTTGCTTTTTTTTTTTTTTTTTTTTTTGTTTTGGGGGGTTTTTTTTTTTTTTTTTTTTTTTTTTTTTTTTTTTAGGTTTTTGCTATAGGGCGTGTGTGCTTTCTGGGGGGGGACGGTGGAAGAGAAAGAAAGTGAGAAATAATCCCTCAAGGGGTAGTGGGTGGCTACTTCACAATCTCTTCTCCATTCTCCTCTTGGAATTTGGGCACACACACACACACACACACACACACACACACACACATACCCCCAATGTGATTTTCAAACTGCCAGATCAGGAATCAAACCTTGTCAGACGTGGGAATCCAGTGCCTTAGCCACCACACCACCTGCTGGTCCTATATCGTTCAAGTTTTTAAATGATTCCATCTAGCCCATATCTTCCACATCCTGTTTTAGCACTGTTCTGTTTAGCGTTGTATGTGCCAGCCATAGTGAACTTTTCTCAGTTTTTCTTACTCTGTCCACTTTCTGACTTCTGGCTTTCTTTTTTTTTCTTCTTCTTCTTTTTGAGAGGTTTTTGCTATAGAACGTGTATGCTCGCCAGAAAGATAGAGACAGAGAGCAAGAAATCACCCCCCAGGGGGATGGCCACGCCATAATCCCTTCTCCATTCTCCTCTCAGGATCTTGGGCACACATGCACATGCGCCCGATAGGAGTTTAAGCTACCAGGTCTGGGACTTGAACCGCAGTCGACTACATGGAGTCCAGCAATTATGCCATCTGCTGATCCCCTAACTTCTGACTTTCTACCAATGTCGCTGCATTTTTGTTTTTGCCCTTAATATTCTACTCATTTAAATGTAAAGACCTTTCTTGGGACCAGCAGTTAGCATAATGAGTATGTTGCTGGACTCCCATGTAGTCGACCGCAGTTTGAGTTCCAAACCTGGTGGCTTAAACTCACACCAGATGCATGTGAATGTGTGCCCAAGATTCTGAGAGACTGAAGAAGGGATTACAGCATAGCCATCCCCCCAGGGGGTTATTTCTTGCTTTCTGTCTCTCTGTCTCTCTCTGTCTTTCTGGCAAGTGCACGCACCCTATGGCAAAAACCTCTCCAAAAAGAGAAAAGAAAATTAATTAATTAATTAATTAATTAATTAAAGAGTTGAGAGAACCACAGGTGGATTCAACTGGGCCAGTTTGACTGCTTAAAAGGAAAGGTTATTTATTCAGCGCTCAGAATATAACTGCAGAAACAATGGAATGAGTGAATGATAGTAAAGGTGGGCTTGGGAGTTTCAAATGCCAAACTAAACATGCAAATTCCCAGGCACAGAGCACAAAGTGACAGTCATGAATTGTGAAGGTCAGGGGTTTGCTAGTGCAGAGTACAAAGGGGAGAGTTCACACTTCATTAATTGCTTCCTATAACAATTTATTTATTTTAAAATTTATTTTAAAGAGTTACTTATTCATTTAATTCCATTTGTTATTATTATTTTTAAATTTCACCAGACAGAGAGAGAGGGAAATTGAAAGAGAAAGCAAAGAGCCAGTTTCGGGACTCAATATGGAAATCCAGCACCTATAACCACCATGCCACTTGTCAGCCCTCCTATAAAAATGTATTAATGGCAAAATAGTAGGTAGATGTCATTCTTATTTACTTATTTTAATATTTTGATATAAGACCACTACACTCTCTGAAGAGAGACAGTGAGAAGGTAAAGTGAAAAATCACCCCCCCCAGGGGGATCACTATGCAGCCATCTCTTCTCCTCTCAGGGTTTTGGTCATAAACACA